ACTTTGTCATCTCAAAGACATGCACTCTCACAGCTCTATACTGTGTCATCTTAAAGACATGCTTTCTCACAGCTCTCCACTTTGTCATCTCAAAGACATGCTTTCTCACATTTCTCCATTTTGTCATCTCAAAAGACATTTTTTCTCACAGATCTCCACTTTGTCATCTCAAAGACATGCTTTCTCACAGCTCTCCACTTTGTCATCTCAAAGACATGCTTTCTCACAGATCTCCACTTTGTCATCTCAAAGACATGCTTTCTCACAGCTCTCCACTTTGTCATCTCAAAGACATGCTTTCTCACAGCTCTCCACTTTGTCATCTCAAAGACACGTACTCTCACAGCTCTCCACTTTCCCTATCTCAAAGACACTCACTCTCACAGCTCTCCACTTTCCCCATCTCAAAGACACGTACTCTCACAGCTCTCCAATTTCCCCATCTCAAAGACACGTACTCTCACAGCTCTCCAATTTCCCCATCTCAAAGACACGTACTCTCACAGCTCTCCACTTTCCCCATCTCAAAGACACTCACTCTAACAGCTCTAAATTTTGCCTACTCACACACAGATGATAGTCCAAAGGGACCACTCATCTGGTTAAGTATACGTGACTATATAAATCGTGAGTGAATAGCCTGATACAGGAGTATGAAAACATTAGTGAATAGCTTGATACAGGAGTATATAAAGCATTAGTGAATAGCCTGATACAGGAGTATATAAAGCTTTAGTGAATAGCCTGATACAGGAGTATATAAAGCATTAGTGAATAGCCTGATACAGGAGTATATAAAGCATTAGTGAAAGACCTTGTTCAGGCTTTATTAAGCATTAGTGAATGTTTTGATACAATTAGCAGTTGCTTCACTTTTATTTCTCCCGAAAACCAAGATTTTGGATGGAACTCGACCGGCACTAAAGTTTAACCCGATGAAATGGAATGAAATGGGACAACTTAGACAAGCTTCAACAGCACCGTTTGTTTCGAAGGCACTCGCCCGTCTTAACCACTCTTGTGAACCAAATTTATGGAGCTACTTTCTTAATGGTCTTCGGAAATGAATGGGGGAACATGAAATCTTTGGTGAACAGGAAATCTCTGAATTGGAAATCCATTAACACCGACAGAAGTGAAACTGAAAAAGTTGATAATAATGTAACGCGGAGAAGTTTTCAACATCGATATTTCAGTTTATCCACTAGTGTCATTGATGTTGATGGAAAGACACACAGCATAGCCACTAGTGTCAGTGATGTTGACGGAAAGACACACACCATAGCCACTAGTGTCAGTGATGTTGATGGAAAGACACACAGCATAGCCACTAGTGTCAGTGATGTTGATGGAAAGACACACTGCATAGCCACTAGTGTCAGTGATGTTGATGGAAAGACACACTGCATAGCCACTAGTGTCAGTGATGTAGATGGAAAGACACACTGCATAGCCACTAGTGTCAGTGATGTAGATGGAAAGACACACTGCATAACCGCTAGTGTCAGTGATGTAGATGGAAAGACAAACTGCATAGCCGCTAGTGTCAGTGATGTAGATGGAAAGACACACTGCATAGCCGCTAGTGTCAGTGATGTAGATGTAAAGACACACTGTATAGCCGCTAGTGTCAGTGATGTAGATGGAAAGACACACTGCATAGCCGCTAGTGTCAGGGATATTGATGGAACGCGTCAAACGTTCTGGTCAGTTGTGTGAGTTTACTGGTCAGTTGTGTGAGTTTATTGGTCAGTTGTGTGAGTTTACTGGTCAGTTGTGTGAGTTTATTGGTCAGTTGTGTGAGTTTATTGGTCAGTTGTGTGAGTTTACTGGTCAGTTGTGTGAGTTTACTGGTCAGTTGTGTGAGTATACTGGTCAGTTGTGTGAGTTTACTGGTCAGTTGTGTGAGTTTATTGGTCAGTTGTGCTCGTTTACACTTTGATTGTAATTAAAGGCCAGTTATGGTAGTATACAGGTCAGTTGTGACAAATAACAGGTCAATTGTAAGAGTTTACAGGTGAGTGGTGGCATGTACAGGTTTTTGGTCTTTTTAAACTTTAAAAAAAACAAAAAACTAAAGACATACGTGACGTCATACACCTTAACTTACAGGGTACATCTGAAGTGCATATCTTAGTATGTCTCAACTTACACGGCACATCTGAAGTGCATGTCTTTGTATGTCTCAACTTACACGGCACATCTGAAGTGCATGCCTTAGAATATCTTAACTTAGAGGGTACGTCTGAAGTGGATGTCTTACAATGTCTTAACTTAGAGGGTACGTCTGAAGTGGATGTCTTAGAATATCTTAACTTAGAGGGTACGTCTGAAGTGGATGTCTTAGAATGTCTTAACTTAGAGGGTACGTCTGAAGTGGATGTCTTAGAATATCTTAACTTAGAGGGTACGTCTGAAGTGGATGTCTTAGAATATCTTAACTTAGAGGGTACGTCTGAAGTGCATGTCTTAGAATGTCTTAACTTAGAGGGTACGTCTGAAGTGGATGTCTTAGAATATCTTAACTTAGAGGGTACGTCTGAAGTGGATGTCTTAGAATATCTTAACTTAGAGGGTACGTCTGAAGTGGATGTCTTAGAATATCTTAACTTAGAGGGTACGTCTGAAGTGGATGTCTTAGAATAACTTAACTTAGAGGGTACGTCTGAAGTGGATGTCTTAGAATGTCTTAACTTAGAGGGTACGTCTTAAGTGCATGTCTTAGAATGTCTTAACTTACAGGGTACATCTGAAGTGGATGTCTTAGAATTTCTTAGCTTACAGGGTACATCTGAAGTCCATGTCTTAGAATGTCTCAACTTACATAGTACATCTGAAGTGTATGTCTTAGAATGTCTCAACTTACATAGTACATCTGAAGTGCATGTCTTAGAATGTCTCAACTTACAAAGTACATCTGAAGTGCATGTCTTAACTTACAGGGTACATCTGAAGTGCATTTTCTATATTGCCCTTGTTTCATTTCACCGCCATTCCTTGGACACAGAAATATGCAACCCCTCTGCTTGAGATCCACTGTTGCTAAGTATGAAACACTCTGTGTGAGAACCTAAAAATTTTCAGAAGCCTGGGGAAAACCTAAAGGTGTGTGGGGGAACCGGACACCGGCAGGGAGAAAGTTGACTCCGCTGTCAATAAGAAACCTGTTTGTTCAGTGCTCCACTGTTAGATGATATTGTTTTACAATAAAATATGCCTGGGGGAGGGCTGGCTGTGTGGNACAAAGCTGGTCACCTCAAATAAAATACAATAGTTTGAGATTTGTCAGTGGGGTGGGGGTGGGGGTGCTATCATTGATTTAATCGGTATGTTTAAAGAAAGAAAAGGTGGGTGGGGGAACAAATGGGAAGCTTATATTAAGATTTCAAAATTTATTTATCTTTGGTCACGAGGGGGGGGGGGAGAGAGAGAATTAGTACGTCTATTTGTATATAAAGGATTTGTTCAAATAAATTTTTAGTTTAAATATGAACATTTGATGGAGTAACGGTTCTAATGTGAACATATGAATAGGGTAATTGTACTAATATGAAGATGTGTGTTCATTTTCTCATTTGAATAAGGTAACCAGTTGCATTTGAGACATCTTGTGCTCTAGTTGTGTTCACGTCTTATTCATTTAACACAAATATCAAAATGTCTTGATGTGTTGAAGCCGAGTTAATTTTAGGATTAGCTTCGGGCATACCTGGTTTCAGAAACTGTGTAAATAGTTTTAAAAAATCGAATCTTCCTAGACAGAAATGTGTTTGTATTGGAACATTAACATGAGAAACTAGATACCAGGTGTACGTCACTAGATCCTGCATACAACACGACAGTGGGTTTATTTGCCACTGTGGGTCAAGTCAGACAGGCAGAAGACATTCACATTCCTACTTAACACACATACAATCAGACAGGCAGACTGCATTCACATTCCTACTTAACACCCATACAATCAGACAGGCAGACTGCATTCACATTCCTACTTAACACCCATACAATCAGACAGGCAGACTGCATTCACATTCCTACTTAACACACATACAGTCAGACAGGCAGACTGCATTCACATTCCTACTTAACACACATACAATCAGACTTGTAGAATGCACTAACATTACGAAACACACTTACAATCAGATTGACAGAATACACTTGCATCTTCATAACACACATACAAATAGATTGACAGAATACACTCACATCTCCATAACTCACATACAATCTACGACTCACTGATAACTTTGAACAATATCCCATAAATTCCAATTCTATTATACACATGTGAGGCCAATGATGGTCTGTTTGCACATGTGTGACCAATGATGGTCTGTTTACACAAGTGAGGCCAATGATGTTCTGTTTACACATGTGAGGCAAACGATGGTCTGTTCGCACATGTGTGGCCACTGATGATCTGTTTGCACATGTGTGGCCATTGATGGTCTGTTTACACATGTGTGGCCAATGATGGTCTGTTTACACAAGTGTGACCAATGATGGTCTGTTTACACAAGTGAGGCCAATGATGTTCTGTTTACACATGTGAGGCAAACGATGGTCTGTTCGCACATGTGTGGCCACTGATGATCTGTTTGCACATGTGTGGCCACTAATGGTCTGTTTGGACATGTGTGGCCAATAATGGTCTGTTTGCACATGTGTGGCCAATGATGGTCTGTTTACACATGTGAGGCCAATGATGGTCTGTTTACACATGTGAGATCAATGATGGTCTGTTTACACATGTGAGGCCAATTATGGTCTGTTTACTCATGTATGACCAAATGATGATCTTTTCACACATGTGTTCAGCTAATTTTTGCCATCTTTAAAGTCAAACTCTGCCAGATTCACTTTCGAATTTTTAAAAAAAATCAAGATAACACATTTTTAACACATTTTTTACACATTTTGGGGAATATTTTATTTGTTAATTTCATTCATTTGGTTTCCCATTGACAGGCGTGTCAGACCACGAGAGAGGTGCACCTATCATCTGCTCCTGGTGTCAGCAGAATGGAAACAAACTGTTCACTCTTGGGACATCCGCTGGTATCAAGGCGTTCTGCAGTGAGGTCTGCTTCACCCAGTGCAGGAGGGCGTCCTTTAAGAAAAATAAGGTGAGAACGATTACGCCTTGTAAGTAGCGGAGGAAGATTATATCATGAAAGTAGGTCAGAAAGATTGTATAATGAATGTAGGTCAGAAAGATTGTATCATGAAAGTGGGTCAGAAAGATTATATCATGAAAGTGGGTCAGAAACATATCATGAAAGTAGGTCAGAAAGATTGTATCATGAATATAGGTCAGAAAGATTGTATCATGAATGTAGGTCAGAAAGATTATATCATGCAAGTGGGTCAGAAAGATTATATCATGAAATTGGTCAGAAAGATTATATCATGAAAATGGGCCAGGAAGATTATATCAGGAAAGGAGTTCTGAAAGATTACATCATGTGAGTAGTTGAGAAAGATTGTGTCATGAAAATGGGTCAGAAAGATTATATCATGAAAATGGGCCAGGAAGATTATATCAGGAAAGGAGTTCTGAAAGATTACATCATGTGAGTAGTTGAGAAAGATTGTGTCATGAAAATGGGTCAGAAAGATTATATCATGAAAATGGGTCAGCAGGATTATAATATCATGAAAGTAGGTCAGAAAGATTACGTCATGGGGTGGGTGAGAGCGAGTTTGTCATGATAGTTTATTCTATCTGAGATTCGACAAGAACATAGCGTCATCATTTTGAAACACCTGTTTTTACCAAATTATTGATGGTTACTTATGTCTTACTTTAAAAGTATTAATGCTAACTTATTTTAAAATTATTGATGGTTACTGATGTTAAAATTATTGTATACTTGTTAACGATATAGTCATTAAGTTATGCTTAATCATATGAAAGTAAATAAAACGTCTTGTATTGAAACCATTCCATGTATTGTTCAAGATGTTTATAACAGGGCACACATTTAATGTGGCACATATTGTAATTTAAGACACAATTAACTCACTCACACTACCATATAGGATCCATAAACTCTAATGCATCTCTAATGTACACATATGTCATGTGAGACCCAGTTCTTTAGACAATGCTTATGTTGTAGCTGGTTTAAAGTCACGTGACCTTCGTTGTCTAACTTGCATCTCTTGTTTGTTCTAACCAGCTGCTCCCCGTCTCTATTACCCAGGTGTGCGACTGGTGCAAGCACGTGAGGCACACCGTCAACTTTGTGGACTTCCAGGATGGGGACGTGCAGCTGCAGTTCTGCAGCGAGAAGTGTCTGAACCAGTACAAGATGAACGTTTTCTGCACCGAGGCCAGGCAGCACCTCCAGGCCATACAGAGCATGGCCGCCGAGGAGGAGAAGAGCGGGGAGGGGAGGAATGAACCCCGGCAAGGGGAGATCCTCATCACGCCGGAGCTGTGGATGTCGGGCAGCTCAAATGGGGAGCTGAACATCAAAGAGGAGGTGGACGTTGAAAGGAGTGAGAAGGTGTTGGAGAGAGGTCAAGAGAGTGGGAAGGTGGATGCGTGCTATGATGATGAGGATGAGGGGGAGCCTGGGGAGCTGAGAGAAGGAGAGAAGTTTGGACGCCACCTTGTGATGGATGGTAGGCCTGAAGCGACGGATGACAGCAGCTGTTCTAATGAGGGGAAAGTTGCTTCGTCAACAGTCACGGTGTATCGTCAGAAAGGGGAGTGTAGAAATTCAACGCCTAACTATAGGTCATCCAAGACAGAGCTCCAGAACCATTTGGAGCATCGGCAACGGAGGGAGAAAGATCGTTTGAGAAAAACCCCTGACAGTAAAACAAGACCTGCATCAATCGAACATGGAAGAGATGTCAATAAAATAACTCATTCTGCCAAGAAAGACAAAATGGAAAAGCATCATACTTCACAGAGATTTCTGAGTCTCAGCCCAGCGATTGCCACAACAGCAAGCACCTCAGACGCTTCTAGTTCACAATCGTTCCTACCCAATTGGGCCACGTCACAGCTCATGGCCATGATGCCACCCAATATGAGCCCCAGTCTGGCTGGTTCCCCTTTGGGACCGCTAAGTTATGGGGGCAGTCCTTTGCTGTATTCAAGTCTTTTTGGACCAGCTCACATGATTGCTGGTGGTGGGTCAAATAAGGAGGCTCAAGCCAAAGCAAGGCATGAATCTAGAAGGGAGCTGTTGCGTGACCGAGACAGGTGTGCACAACCTTCAGCAGGTGAGAGGAAGAGAGAAGTCGGTGACAGATCGGGTGTTCAGAAATCTTCTTTGACCTCTCACTCTTCAGTTGACCCCGCTTGTCCAACAAGCACATCAGGTTTGGGGCTATTACATAACCAAGGATTAAATCTCAACCTCATGGCGGAGCTTTCCAAACATTTATCTCAGCAGTTTCAAACGGGGAATCTTAATTCTGAAATGAACTTGCCACCATATTTGACCAACCCCGCTCTTGCTGGGATGTTTCAGTTACCTTTCGCCTACACCCCAGGTCAAGTTAATCCCGTACCTTTTGTCCATCCTCCTGCAACACACATACCCACATCCTCCACCCATTCTCCATCATCGTCTTCTCGTCAGCACAGCACCACCCAGCCACTGCCAGTTCCCCCAGCCCAATGCGTTCCACCAATAACGATATTAGTCCCTTATCCCGTTGCAGTGCCTGTCCCCATCCCAGTGCCCATACCGTTTCCTGTCCCCATAGCACCAGAAAAACTGTTTGCCTACTTCCGAGAGAAAGAAGAGTCTGGCAGACCAGCGACTGTCACAAAAGAAACGCCGCACGTCTCGGCTGACCCTAAGCCGGAACCAAGGTCTCGGTCAACAAGTGAAAGTAGGCCGCGTGCAGCCAGTGCCTGTCATCTCATCAACCCCAGCCCGGGTCTGTCACCCCGGCCATCATCCAAGTGTTCATCTCTTGGTGGCATTCCCCAGGGGTCATCATCTTCGCCGCTGGATTCACCAGAGTCCGGCTTGGTGCTGGCCAATGGCCGTGAATCTGCTGATTCAATAATGACTCTAAGACGAGAAATCGGTCGCTCCCAGCTGAAAGCTGCATCTACGTCACCTTGTACGTCATCAAGCTATAAACATGTCATGACGCCCATCTTGCCTTACAGCTTAGATTTGTCAGCAAAGGCTTCCAGGGTATCTCTAGCACATCACAATGAAGACGAAGCCATCGATCTCAGCAAGATGTCAACTAGGTCAGACTCTCCCAGGAGATCCGTCGACCTTTCAGAGAAGGAGAACACATCTCTGTTGAAGCGCGCCTCACTCAGTGACAGTGAGATTGATGGGATAGTCCACTCACAAAATTTGAAGGTGCCACGGATACACATCATATCTGAACCCCCAGACCCCCCCTTGAGTCAGCCTCCTGTCAGCGTACCCCTGCCACCCCCACCAGAGCAGTCCAGCTACTCGAGCCGAAGAAGCAGAATACTGGACGCTCCAAGTGTCCCCAAAAAGTCCCGTAGCCCCTCCCCCGAGAGACGCTACATCAGAACTGTTCCAAGGGACATGGTGGAGGCTGCCAGGAGGCGGGGGCTTAGGGCCAGGGTTAGAACCAAATAACCGCTTGTCTTAATAACTGATGGAAGCACCAGGGTAAACAGATATCAAACTTATAGGAAGTTGAGCTAAAAGCAATGACCAGGATGATTTCTAAATTAATAAATTGACATGAACACATCTGAAATATTTGCAAATATAAACATCATGCTAAACATTGAACATCCACAAATAGAATAAACAATATTTCAGCTTTTGAATTAGAATTTCAAATGCTACTTCTTTTTTTATAAGTGAATGTAACATTGACTTTGTGTGAAGTCAAAAGCCAAAGAATTTCTTAAATAATGGCAATGCGTGAGTGTTGTGACCATACAATAAAAGACTTAGGTTGCCATGTCAATGTTGTAAGGGCTGACCTAGTACATATGCATGTGTCCATTATATATTAAGGTGTGTGTCTATCATGTATCACATTCTGTGTCAAGCCTGTAATTTTTTTATAAAAAATAAAATGAAGTGCAATATTTTCAAGTGGTTGAATGAGAAGCACTAGGTCACACACACACAAACATACTAACATTCATACACACACATATACAATCATACACATACTGTATATTAAAAATAGATGCCCCATATTATTTAAATATTAAAGTGTTTTCTTTATAAATGATGCTCCGACAATTGTGTTAATTAAATAATTAATGATAAATTAATTTAAAATGGCTTCAATCTGTAAATATGTGGACATTTAATGTTGTTGTGTTGAAGCGGGGTGTGCTTTGGCCTGGATGTATAATATTTACAGACTTAGTTGTTTATATAGGAATTTATTGTTTTTTATTTTGTTTATAGGAACCTTTCAAACAAATATTTTGTAAGTTTGCTTGGTCCTTGGACCGTCATTTTTTGGCTGTGATTTATGCCTGATGTTTTAGTTATTTAAATTCGATTTATATCTAAAAGTGTAATTGGTAGAGATGAGCACCAAGTTCTGCCAGCTGCAATGTTTACAGGTCGAAAATGAGACCAGATGTTATTCAATGGCTTTCCCGAATAAGTGAATTGTTTGAAAAGCTTGCAATACGAATCTCCTTCAAAATGATTCTATGCTCTGTAAACTAGTAACGGTGAGTGCGGTGGCAAATGCCATAGATGCACAATGCTAAGGGAGGCTATCCCATTAATTAAAATACGAATTGATTAAACTTAGTTGATTAGTTGTCTGACAAAGTATCTAAAAAAAAAAGATAAATCATCCGAAACTTAAAGGTGATTCAGCCAAAACCTCACGTATTGATCCAGGATATAAACTAAGAGTGTTTTACTCTTCTTCAGAATCTAGCGTAGGGGAAACGTGTGTCAGAAATTATGGGATAAACTTTCTTAGAACATATGATTACAACTGGTTGGAACTTAGAGGTACAGTTGCTTGAAACTTAGGGGTGCGTTTTCTTGGAACATATGAGTAGAGTAGCTGGAAACTTAGGGGTACAGCTGCTTGGAACTTAGGGGTGCGTTTTCTTGGAACATATGAGGAGAGTAGCTGGAAACTTAGGGGTACAGTTGCTTGGAACTTAGGGGTGCGTTTTCTTGGAACATATGAGTAGAGTAGCTGGAAACTTAGGGGTACAGCTGCTTGGAACTTAGGGGTGCGTTTTCTTGGAACATATGAGTAGAGTAGCTGGAAACTTAGGGGTACAGCTGCTTGGAACTCAGGGGTGCGTTTCCTTGGAACTTTTTACATATTTAAATATTGACCTAAATTAAACAAACTCAAGACTTTCTCAACTCAAGACTTTCTCATCTCAAGGCTTTCTCATCTCAAGACTTTCTCATCTCAAGACTTTCTCATCTCAAGACTTTCTCATCTCAAGACTTTCTCATCTCAAGACTTTCTCATCTCAAGACTTTCTCATCTCAAGACTCTTTCATCTCAAGACTTTCTCATCTCAAGACTTTCTCATCTCAAGACTTTCTCATCTCAAAACTTTCTCATCTCAAGACTTTCTCATCTCAAGACTTTCTCATCTCAAAACTTTCTCATCTCAAGACTTTCTCATCTCAAGACTTTCTCATCTCAAGACTTTCTCATCTCAAGACTTTCTCATCTCAAGACTTTCTCATCTCAAGACTTTCTCATCTCAAGACTTTCTCATCTCAAAACTTTCTCATCTCAAGACTTTCTTATCTCAAGACTTTCTCATCTCAAGACCCTTTCATCTCAAGACTTTCTCGTCTCAAGACTTTCTCATCTCAAGACTTTCTCATCTCAAGACTTTTTCATCTCAAGACTTTCTTATCTCAAGACTTTCTCATCTCAAGACTTTCTCATCTCAAGACTTTCTCATCTCAAGACTTTCTCATCTCAAAACTTTCTCATCTCAAGACTTTCTTATCTCAAGACTTTCTCATCTCAAGACTCTTTCATCTCAAGACTTTCTCGTCTCAAGACTTTCTCATCTCAAGACTTTCTCATCTCAAGACTTTCTCATCTCAAGACTCTTTCATCTCAAGACTTTCTCATCTCAAGACTTTCTCATCTCAAGACTTTCTCATCTCAAAACTTTCTCATCTCAAGACTTTCTCATCTCAAGACTTTCTCATCTCAAGACTTTCTCATCTCAAGACTTTCTCATCTCAAGACTTTCTCATCTCAAGACTTTCTCATCTCAAGACTTTCTCATCTCAAGACTTTCTCATCTCAAGACCCTACATTTAGGATTAATCTAAGATTTCCTGTTTTAATATCTTGTACATTATTCGTATTTAAATTTGACTTTTCAAATTTTCTAAGTTATGTGAATGTAAATAGGACATTAGCTACAACATTCATTGTTGATGTGTGTACATATCTTGTATTGCAACATTAATTATGTATGTGTGTACATATCTTAAAAAGGTAAATTGGAGATTTCATGTTTAGAGCTATAAACAAAGTGAATTATATACTGACAACAATGACTATTTGAACAATTAAAAAGTAAATCTGGAGTCATTTATTTTGTTTAGTGTTTGCAATAGTTTTATTTTAGGTTTCTGCTACCTAACCACTTATTTTGGCATATAGATGTCTATGGGCATATATATTTCTATGGGCATATAGATGTCTATGGGCATATAGAGTTCTATGGGCATATAGAGTTCTATGGGCTTATAAATGTCGGTGTTTTATAACAATGTGTTTAACAAGCAATGCATTAGCTTTGGGCTTAATCCTTACAGAGAAATAAGGATTACCATTAATTGGAACTGAAATTCCATTCTATCAAAATGGTGTAAATGACAAGAAACTGTATATACTCTCAAAACAACAAACTAGACAGGGTTGAATTAGTTCTATGTACTCTCCAACCAATACATCGGCCAAGGTTGAATTAGTTCTATGTACTCTCCACCCAATACATCGGCCAAGGTTGAATTAGTTCAATGTACTCTCCAACCAATACATCGGCCAGGGTTAAATTAAAAAGAAATTGTGGTCTAGGTAATGCAGCCATTAGTATTAGTAAGGGGCTTTAGAGAATAACTGAAACGCCTGCATAAAATATCAATCTTTAGGAATAGGAAGGTAAAACTAAGTATTAATCTACAAGACGTTATTCAGTGGTTTCAATAAAAGTGCACTTTTTCCATGCATAATCTGGAGGCATTTATGCCAGAGCATCAATGTAAGAGATGACATTCCATGACACCAATGTAAGAGATGACATTCCATGACACCAATGTAAGAGATGACATTCCATGACACCAATGTAAGAGATGACATTCCATGACACCAATGTAAGAGAGGTCATTCCATGGCATCAATGTAAGAGGTAACATTCCATGACACCAATGTAAGAGATGACATTCCATGACACCAATGTAAGAGATGACATTCCATGACACCAATGTAAGAGAGGTCATTCCATGGCATCAATGTAAGAGATGACATTCCATGACACCAATGTAAGATATGACATTCCATGACACCAATGTAAGAGATGACATTCCATGACACCAATGTAAGAGAGGTCATTCCATGGCATCAATGTAAGAGATGACATTCCATGACACCAATGTAAGAGATGACATTCCATGACACCAATGTAAGAGATGACATTCCATGACACCAATGTAAGAGAGGTCATTCCATGGCATCAATGTAAGAGATGTCATCCCATGGTATGCATCCAAAGATCTTTGGTCTCTTGCATGAATCTAAGAGCAGTTATTTCATATTTTAATCAAGTTAACATTTTAGAATGATTAAACATGACAGCATAAGAAATTTTTTATGGACAATTTTAAAAAAATGAATGCTTATATACTTGAAGCCTCACATGAAATCTAAAATGGTTTAACCCACAATCTTTCTAAATACAACTAGCCTACCATCTTTCCAAATACAACCATCTCACCATCATTCCAAATACAACCATTTCAACATAATTCCAAATACAACCAACTCATTATTATTTCAAATACAACCATCATTCATAATACAACAACTCACCATCATCCAAATTACAACCAACCCACCATCATCCCAATTACAACCAAATCACCATCATTCCAATTACAACCAACTCACCAATCATTCCAATTACAACCAAATCACCATCATTCCAATTACAACCAACTCACCAATCATTCCAATTACAACCAACTCATCATTATTCCAATTACAACCAACTCACCATCATTCCAATTACAACAAAATCACCATCATTCCAAATACAACCAACTCACCATCATTCCAACTACAACCAACTCACCATCCTTATGACTTAAAATTTTAATCTAACAAAACCAATGAACGATTTTTAAAAAATAAAAATGACTTTATTTGTGACTTATCAGTCATATTGGTTATTTGATATGAATTATTTTGTGTGATATAACTAACATCTGTGACACACGTTAGATTTTAGGCATGATTATGTGTGATACAACAGCTGTCACATTCATTGGAATATATGAATGATAATTTAACAAACAAGAATTATGTGTATTACGTAAGAATATGAACAAGAAGAAAAAGGGGGCAGGGGGGAGGGGGGCAGAGAGTTCACTTTGTTGTGGTGGACGCAAACAATTTGAAAAAACGTTTGTGTAAAAATTGCTAATAAGTAAAATAAAATAAACAAGCTAAAAAAAGTTCAATTAAAAAAAGATAGACTTTAGATTGAACTCGTACCTGTCATTACGTTCACAGTTGGTGCAACGCGCTTTAATCTCGTAACAACTATTTTATCACCTGCCCATTATCTCATAATAACTGCAATACACCTGTGCATAATCTCATAACAACTGCATTATCACATGTCCATAATCTCATTACTACTATATTATCACCTTCCATAATCTCATTACAATCACATTATCACCTGTCCATAATCTCATTACAACTGCATTATCACATGTCCATAATCTCATTACAACTACATTATCACCCGTCCATAATCTCATTACAACTACATTATCACCTGTCTATAATCTCATTACAGATACATTATCACCTATCCATAATCTCATTACAACTACCTTGTCACCTGTCCATAATATCATAACAACTGTACTCTCACGTGTCCATAATCTGCTACATCACAAGCCAGCTTTCCAATGGTACCGAATCATGCTCAAAGAATTCGTCAATGCAGATCTCGCTCTAACACACCATACTAAAAGAATGCATGCAACCCCAGCAGTTCTCAGTCTATGACATAAGAGACCCTACCACAGCGACGAGATAATCCCTGGAAGATCGAGACCAATTTTAAAGAAAAAAAAACACATAACAAAGATGTGTGCCCCAAAAGGTGACAAGTTGTGGCGTGTTGGCGGGGGGGGGGGGGCCCGGGGGGAGGGGGAATAAAATTAATTAAATGGGGGGGGGGGGGGGGGGGGGGGGGGGGGGGGGGGGGGGGGGGCCCGAGGTGAGTGGCATTAAACTTAATTAAAGATTCATGAGGACCAACAATTATTGATAACACGAAACAGAGCGACTCAAGCGACGACAAGGGAGCATAACAATTACATTTTGTATAACAAGAAGAAAAACACAGTGGTGTCCTTGTCCTATCAAATATTATCTCACATTTTGAAGAGGTGACGTTTAAATAGTCTCCCCTGGTAGTTGTCATGGCACGTCACAAGTGCAAGCAACACACCAAGAGTACCCTTCTCTAATAATTTAAAAATATTAAAAAAAACTTTACATGAGCGAGACTTTGAAACACTACAGGAAACTGGATGGTGGTAGATTTTTGTGACAAAGGTCTTTGTGTATTGTCAAGGAATAGCATGAACAAATGACATGTCTGTATGCAACGATGCATAGACTTCCAAAAATGATTTCACCATCGAGTAGGAAACATTCCTGTAGAACTTCTTAACAAAATTTACGCACATAGGATGACCTAACTAAATATATGCAAATAGATTGACCTAACTAAATGCATCCACTTAGGACGACCTAAATAAATGTACGTAAATAGGATGACCTAACTAAATGTAAGCAAATAGAGTGACCTATCTAAATTAACGTACATAGGCTGACCTCACTAAATGTACGCACATAAGCTGACTTAACTAATGACAAAAAAAAGTAAATGTACGCACATTGGATGACCTAACCACGGAAGAAAAAAACTAATTGTACGCACAAAGGCTGACTTAACTAATGGAAAAAAAATAAATGTACGCACATAGGATGACCTAACTACGGAAGAAAAAATTAATTGTACGCACAAAGGCTGACTTAACTAATGGAAAAAAAAATTAATGTACGTACATTGGATGACCTAACTACGGAAGAAAAAATTAATTGTACGCACAAAGGATGACTTAACTAATGAAAAAAAAATGTACGCACATAGGATGACCTAAATAATAAAGAAAAAACATCTTAAAGTAAGCACATTGGCTGATTTTTACTAATGAAAGAATTGGCAGCCACAAAATTTCTTGCAATATAGGTTCGTTTTATTGGCTGCATCTCTCCTCATGTCACACAAGGAGTAGTTCAAGACCTACAGTCAAACACTATACGTTCTTGGTCCTGCATGTTAGGCTGATTGTTAAAGCTCTTACCTAAAATATAACAAACACTGTGAGTTCTTGGTCCTACATGTTAGGCTGATTGTTAGAGCTCTTACCTAAAATATAACAAACACTATAAGTTCTTGGTCCTACATGTTAGGCTGACTGTTAGAGCTCTTATCTAAAATATAATAAATGCTATACGTTCTTGGTCCTACATGTTAGGCTGACTGTTAGAGCTCTTGCCTAAAATATAAAAAACACTATAAGTTCTTGGTCCTACATGTTAGGCTGATTGTTAGAGCTCTTATCTAAAACACAAACTGGCGTCGGAGTCATTGTGGAGTGTTGGCCAGTTAAAGAGCCGTTTTCGCCATCGGTCTGTGACAACACCACATGCACCTGCTGGGGATGTTTTACTGTGGTCGCCGGTGCAGGTGATGACGCAGGACTAGGCACACAAATACACGTGCTGCAGCCCTGGCGGTCTTTTTCGTAGCCCGAGGGGCAGTCACCCAGACAGAGCTTATCCTCACAGTAAGGTTTGCAGTTGCAAGAGTGGCACCCCGTCTTGTCTTTGTAATACCCCCCAGGGCACGGCTCGAGACAGGTCCTCACGGCGCACCACGGTGCACCGCAGGAGTAGGTGCACCGAAGTGGACAGTCCTTTTTATCCTTAACAACGTAGGCGACACATCCATGTGGCGGGTCAGCACAGACCGGATGCTCACAGACGTGCGGCTGGATAGCTGCAACAGAATCATAAAACAAATAATAAAGTCAAGATCACTCATTCCAAACAATAATGCCAAATAATGATGCCAAATGATATTTCCAAATAATGATGCCAAATAATAATGCCAAATAATAATGCCAAATAATAATGAAAAATAATGAAAAAATAATGTCAAATAATAATTCCAAATAATGATGCCAAATAATTATGCAAAATAATAATGCAAAATGATAATGAAAAAATAATAATGTCAAATAATAATTCCAAGTAATGATGACAAATAATGATGCAAAATAATAATGCAAAATAATAATTTAACAAAATAATGCAAAATAAAAATGCAAAAAAATAATGCCAAATATTAGTGCAAAATAATAATGCCTAATAATCATGCCAAATAATAATGCAAAATAATGATTCCAAATAATAATGTCAAATAATAATTCAAAATAATAATGCCAAATAATGATGCAAAATAATATTACAAATAATAATACCAAATAATAATGCAAACTAATAATGCCAAAAAATAATGCAAAATAATAATGCAAAATAATAATGCAAAATAATAATAACAAATAGCAAGGCAAAATAATAATGCAAACAAATATTCAGAATAATAATTCCAAATAATAAATCCATTAAATAGTGCCAATTATTTTTGCACAAATATTTATAACAGATAGTAATACAAAATAAACAATTGACTGGGTTACCTTAAGTTGTATGTCTTATTTTTCGTTAAATACGAGTAATTTCGGAAATTCAGAATAATAAAAAAAAAAAAAACTTCAACAAACATGAAAATTTAGTATTTCTATAAAATATATATTTTTTTAAAAATATATACAATTTTTATCCAAGCGAGATTATTGTATCCAATCATTGTGTCCAGAATAGATATGACATAAGAACTAATGTACCAATGTCAAATAATATAATATTATAACAATGGACATTTTTTTTTTTTGAGAATACCTTTTTGTCTGACATTATTCTATATTAAATGAGGATAAATTAATTTTCAAGGTTCAGTATTTTTTTTTACTAAACTATATTTTTGTTTAAGGTACACGGATTCTTTTAAAATATTCGATAAAGAACAAAACAAAACAAAAAAAAAAACTTCAACATTCAAAATAGGTTGAGTCATTTTTGTTGAAACGAATAGTTTAAAATTATAATATGTCACTATCAGAAGAAAAAATTGAAAAAAAAACAAAACCTGTACCGACCTTCAAGGATTAGCGCAGCATCAAATGTTTGCCCGCAGACGATCAATGCAATAACGAAGACCATAAAGCAATGGCGTCCCATTTTAAACAAGTCTCAGTCATCAAGTAGCTGCGTATTTTGTCTTCTTGTTACCAACGATTCACCAATATGGACAAGCCACAAGTCACTAATCGTCACCAAACAAGGCGCATTTTATCCTGTCACCAGATTTTAACACAGAAAGTGAGTCACGATCTATTTTGTTTTTTTTAAAATTAACATTAAATTTACATAACCAGTTTTTAAAACCATGTAAATGGGACGCAGGCTGTCTCTGTTACGACCAACTCATACGCCACACTTTTTGTAATAACGTAAAGGATCTTATACGATTTAAAATTTTGTGTAATGTGAGATGAATGTATTCTTATTTCATTGCATACTTCATACTTTAACTGAATGTCCTCTTATTTCATTACATACTTCATAATTTGAATAAATGTCTTATTTCATTACATACCTCATACTTTGAATGAATGTATTCTTATATACTCTATACTTTGAATGAATACCTTCTTGTTATGAAGCACTGATGAAGTGCAAACTGTAATTGTTGGTTCAATGAGGCCAATGATAAGGTTTCCATCTTCAGCTCATGACCTCATTTACATCCATTACGTTTTCACAAAAATACAACCAAGACTGTCCTAGACTGACTTAGATGTCCAAGACTGTCCTAGACTGACTTAGATGTCCTAGACTGTCCTAGACTGACTTAGATGTCCTAGACTGTCCTAGACTGACTTAGATGTCCTAGACTGACTTAGATGTTCTAGACTGTCCTAGACTGACTTAGATGCCCTAGACTGACTTAGATGTCCCAGACTGACTTAGATATCATAGACTGTCATTGATGTCATAGATGTCCTAGACTGACTTAGGTGTCATTATATGTCCAAGACTTACTTAGATGGCGTAAACTTTTCTAGATTGTCATAGATGTCCAAGACTGTGCAATACTGACTTAGATTCCTAGAAATACCTAGATGTCCTATACTGACTTAGATGTCCTATACTGACTTAGATGTCCTAGAATTATCTAGATGTCCTAGACTGACTTAGATGTCCTAGACTGACTTAGGTGTCCTAGACTGTCCTAGACTGACTAAGATGTCGTAGTCTGTACTTGACAGACTACTTTTCTTAGATTGACATAGAGTGTCGTAGCCTGACCTCGGCTGTACTAGATTAACCTAGATTGTATTTCTGACCTAGACTATCTTTTACTGTACTTGACTGACATTACCTGTCCTAAACTTTTTTAGAGTCTAGTTCCATTGACCTACACAATCCGGAACGGCTTCCCTATTTGATTAATATATCCCGCAGAATAATTTAGATCACGACAAGCGATGGATCAAATGTTTATCCGAAATAGAATTGTCGACATCGTAAAATTTCAAAATAAAACTTTCAGGCAGACATGTATACAGAAATTAAAACTTTCAGGCCTCACGGTCATTTTATTGATCATTTTGGCTCCTAACCATGTGGAGGGGATTTGCAATGTTTCTCTCCCTGGTGTTGATGAGGATATTTCACTGGTTGAAAGGGCTACTTTGTGAGGGTAGCATGCACTGAGGGTTGGAAGGTCTGGGGCAATAGACGCAAATGTGTCAAGTGTTGTCGCCTCAACTGCTACTTTTGAAAGCTTGTTTCAGTCAATGATTTTCATTGGCAGGATTGAGCAGTTCCTAAACTGCCTTCTCGCTGGTATGAAGGGGAGGGACGAGTTTCTGTTTAGTGCTGGAACAGTGGACCAGTCCATTATTTATCTTGTACATTATGGAGAGCCTGGATTGTCGTCGTCGTTCCTCAAATGATGACCAGCCTAGTGTTTCCAGAATGCTGCCAACACTAGAGGTATTCCTGTAGCGGTTCAGGACATAGCGTGCTGCCCGTCGCTGGACAGCCTCCAACCTGCCGATGCTCTTCAGGGTAAATGGGTCCCAGACTGAAGATGCATAATCTAAAACTGGACGGACAAAGGCTTTGTTGGGTCTTTCTTTCACACTGGAGTTGCCGATCTTTAGATTACGCCTTAAGAGTCCCATTATTGAGATTTGTGTATTAACGCCATTTATACAGAAGCTAAAACTTTCAGGCAGACATTAATACAGAAACTAATTCTTTCGGGAAAACATTCATACAGAAACTAATTCTTTCAGCAAGACATTCACACAGAAACTAATTCTTTCTGCAAGACATTCATACAGAAACTAATTATTTCAGCAAGAAATTCACACAGAAACTAATTATTTCAGCAAGACATTCACACAGAAACTAATTATTTCAGCAAGACATTCATACAAGGACTAATTCTTTCAGCAAGACATTCATACAGAAACTAATTCTTACAGCAAGACATTCATACAGAAACTAATTCTTTCAGAAACACATTCATACAGAAGCTAAAACTGGATTCTTGCGTAAGCCATAAAATAAATTATCTTTATTCATGTTAGATTTATCAACAACCAATATTTCAAATACGATAAGAAAAAAGTAAGAAATAATTTATCGGAAATCAATTATTTATTTATTTTTAAAAATTTATTAATAAAAAAGACTTTCAAGTAATAATGGTATCCCTAATCAGCTGCCAGAATAATAATAATATTTTAAGGATGCTAATATCAACTCATAAACAGGACGTTACCCGTAACAATGGCTGGTCCTGCCCGTAACAAATTGGTTTTTATGGTTTATTTTTTGTATTGTGTTCACAACTGAAATCATGAACCATTTAAATGTGTCATAATTGCACTCAACATAAAATATGAGTCCTCAACACACCATTATCCCTCATCACTTCACACCATTATCCCTCATCACTTCACACCATTATTCCCAATCACAGGACATTAGTATAAATAACTTGCCATCGTAATACCAAATCACTTTACAACATTATCGCCAATCCCATGACGACATTATCGCCAATCCCATGACGACATTATCGCAATCATTTGACACCAAAATCAATCACTTGTCATCGTATTCCCAAAGCACTTGACACCATTATCCCGATCATGTGATACCATTACACTATCACATGACACCATTACCCCATCACATGACACCATTACCCAGTCACATGACACCATTACCCCATCACATGACACCATTACCCCATCACATGAAACCATTATCCCATCACATGATACCATTACCCCATCACATGACACCATTACTCCATCACATAACACCATTATCCCGATCATTTGATACCATTACACCATCACATGACACCATTACCCCATCACATGACACCATTACCCAGTCACATGACACCATTATCCCCATCACATGACACCATTACCCCATCACATGACACCATTACCCCATCACATGACACAATTACCCCATCACATGACACAATTACCCCATCACATGACACCATTACCCCATCACATGACACCATTACCCCATCACATGACACCATTACCCCATCACATGACACCATTACCCCATCACATGACACCATTACCCCATCACATGACACCATTATCCTCATCACATGACACAATTACCATCCGGTTCTTCTTGAACTGTTCATGGATGGAGTGGACACACCATTCCGTAAGCGCCATGTGTAACAATTTTATTACAATCGCATTGAAATCATTTAAGTCTTGAATCTGAAGAGTGTCAAATTAAAAGACACATGACGTCATAAAAATATCTCGTAGGGTCAGGAAATAAAATGATCGAAAACGTGTTTGTACAGACCAACACGTTATCTCATTAAAAATGAAAACAACTATTATATATCATCCAACTTTTTGAGTTGCTCAACTTTAGAAATGCATGAATATGAAACAAACACTTGATAATGAGGTTTGAATTTAAATATACATTATTGTACATTGGTCAGTTGAAATGTTTACGTCATTTCTATTTTTTAATGTAAATGTGGCCCATGTCAGTGCATGACACTTTAACCATTCTTCTGCCACGATGTAAGAGTCAGTGACAGGATTACTGACAGGGTCAGTTTCAGTGACAGGGACAGTCTGTGACAGGGTCAGTGTTAGTGATAAGATCAGGATTAGTGACGGGGTCTGAGTAAGTGTCATAATGAGGGACATGGTAAAAGACAGGGATAGGCAAGAATTAGTGGCAGGTAAGAATTAGTGACAGATTTAAGTCAGTAACAGGGTCCTGATAGAGTCACGGACAGGTTGAAGGTCAGGTCATTAACCTAGAGCCGCTAATTAAATCATCAAATTAAATCTTGATTTATGAAGGCGTCCTTGAAAGGGCGTGGTTCAATTGTAGAGGGCGTGCCGCCTAGCAAACTCTCAATTTCAACGTAACAATGTGGCTCGCATGAACAACTGTTGGGGCAGGCGCCTTCAGGACAGAGCATCTTCTGGTGACAGCTCAGAGCTTGGGGCTTGCACTGACAGGTAGGACAACCCCGGCGATCTGAGAGGTAACCGCTGGGGCAAATTCTGCCACCGGGGCATATTCTTTCGTAGCAGCCCTTTCTGTGGAAGGAACGATCTAAATCATTAAAAGTTCTTGTGCTAGTTATGTACTAGGTCTGTAATAGTTCTGTGCTTGGTCTGTACTAGGTCTGTAATAGTTATGTGCTTGGTCTGTACTAGGTCTGTAATAGTTCTGTGCTTGGTCTGTACTAGGTCTGTACTAGTTCTGAACTTTGCTATGTACGGGAGTTAACTTGAAAATATATTTCCTCATTTTTTCAAAATATTGTGATAGATTAATAAATGTTTTTATTTTAAAAACAAGACTAATCAATGACAAGAAAATAGATTTTTTCAACTTAAAAAACTATTATTACAGTCCAATCAGCTTGTTGAATATTTAGAACAACAACCATTGTGGTCAGACTTACTGACAGTAGCAAGTGTTACACCCATCAATCCCTTTAACGTAGCCGTTGTAACACGGCTGTGTACAGTTCAAGTCCGGGCAGTCTGCCCTGTTGCACACCATCTTACAGCTGGGACATCCGTTGGCGTCCTTCACGTAGTAACAGTTTGGGGGTGGGGCCACACAGGGGCGTGTGATACACACGATGGCCTCCAGTGCTGAAATAATGAGATGGGCCATCGTTTCATTTGAACAGCTTAATTTAAAGTCATTGCAGATAAGGAAGAAATTACGAGGGAAAGAATATATGGGAGTTTTATTGGGCATCATTTAAATAATAATCTTATTCTGCTTAGATTGGGGCAAAGTCCATAAAGTAGAGATGGGGCCAAAGTCCATAAAGTAGAGATGGGGCCAAAGTCCATAAAGTAGAGATGGGCAAAAGTCCATAAAGTAGAGATGAAATCAAAGACCGTGGCGTAAAGATAGAGCCAAAGTTCATAATGTAGAGATGGGGCCAAAGTCCATAAAGTAAAGATGGGGCCAAAGTCCATAAAGTAGAGATGAGTCCAAAGTCCATAAAGTAGAGATGGGGCCAAAGTCAATAAAGCAGAAATAAAGTCAAAGACAGTAGCGTATAGATAGCGACAAAGTCAATAAAGTAGAGATGGGGCCAAAGTCCATACGTAGAGATGGGGCCAAAGTCCATACGTAGAGATGGGGCCAAAGTCCATAAAGTAGAGATGGGGCCAAAGTCTATAAAGTAGAGATGGGGTTAATGTCCATAAAGTAGAGATGGGACCAAAGTCAATAAAGTAGAGATGGAGCAAAACTCCATAAAGTGGAGATGGGACCAAAGTCCATAAAGTAGAGATGGGACCAAAGTCCATAAAGTAGAGATGGGGCCAAAGTCCAAAAGTAGAGATGGAGCCAAAGTCCATAAAGTAGAGATGAAATCAAAGACCGTGGCGTATAGATAGAGCCAAAGTCCATAAAGTAGAGATGGGGAAAAATGTCCATAAAGTAGAGATGGGGCCAAAGTCCATAAAGTAGAGATTGGGCCAAAGTCCATAAAGTAGAGATGGGGCCAAAGACCGTGGAGTCTAGATAGAGGCAAAGTCGTGACGTAGAGTACAATGAGTTTTGTTTTCTAGACGTCAAGGTTAAGACTAAGGCTAGGAACACTCTGGTGATATTGAGCTGTTAAGCTGTCCGTGGCTCGCAGGACTAAGGCTAGGAACACTTTGGTGATATTGAGCTGTTAAGCTGTCCGTGGCTCGCAGGACTAAGGCTAGAAACACTTTGGTGATATTGAGCTGTTAAGCTGTCCGTGGCTCGCAGGACTAAGGCTAGGAACACTTTGGTGATATTGAGCTGTTAAGCTGTCCGTGGCTCGCAGGACTAAGGCTAGAAACACTTTGGTGATATTGAGCTGTTAAGCTGTCCGTGGCTCGCAGGACTAAGGCTAGGAACACTTTGGTGATATTGAGCTGTCAAGCTGTCCGTGGCTCGCAGGGGTGTTCAAGAAATGTTTATCCCGGTCAGAGGCGTAGCGTGGTGGGGGCACGGGGGGACACATGTCCCCGGGCGCCAGCTATTTAGGGGCGCCAAAATATGCTTTGATATTATTTTATTGATGAAAATAATGGGTTTGAGATTTGAAAAAAAGAAAAAGGGGCGCTAAAAATGGATCTTGTCCCCGGGCGCGAATCTTGTCCCCGGGCGCCAAACACCCTCGCTACGCAACTTATCCCGGTTATGTACACAATAACGTCCCCATTTCCAGGTGTAAGAATATTAGAATGAAAACACTCTAAAGGAAACGGAAACGCATCATCATTGATACTATTAGTAAAAAAATAATAATAATTAATATTTAAAAAAAAAAAAAATCAAAGTAAAAATACTAGATCTAGGCCTGGCAAGTAATTTAAATATTAATTATATTAATGCAATATACATAACGGACACAAAATAATTGTTCTGATGTTGAACGTGAAAAGGAAACAAATCAACTTTAACACGCTCTTTTCGAGATGAAGTGGTTGGATTGTTATTTTTAGAATGTCTTGAAAACACCGTACTGATTCTTTTCAAATACCGTTACACAGAATACACTTTGAAGAACGTGCTGAAGACATACAAGGAAGATTTGGCACCAGATTATAACAATGAAACTGTATTCACATATACATTTTATTCACATATAAATTTTATTCACATATACACTTTATTCACATATATATTTTATTCACATATACATTCTATTCACATATACACTGTATTCACATATACATTTTATTCACATATACATTTTATTCACATATACATTTTATTCACATACACATTCTATTTACATATATATTTAATTCACATATACATTCTTTTCACTTATACATTTTATTCACATATACATTTTATTTACATTTATATTTTATTCACATATACATTTTATTCACATATACACTTTATTCACATATACATTTTATTCACATATTCACTTTATTCACATATACATTCTATTCACATATACATTTATTCACATATACATTTTATTCACACATACATTTGATTCACATATATATTCTATTCACATATACATTGTATTCACATATACATTTTATTCACATATACATTTTATTCACATATATATTCTAATTCACATATACATTTTATTCACATATACATTTTGTTCACATATACATGTTATTCACATATACATTGTATTCCTCTAACTCTATTAGAATAGGGTTCATTCTTTTTTTTTGTTGTTAACTTTCAGAAAAGACCTTGAAACACATTTTTGTCTCCAATTTTGGATGACCTACTAAATGTATTGGTTTTAGATTTGCATCACAACAGGTAATCAAAGCAGCATCTTTGCACTCTACTCCAATCACATCGAGACAAGAAGCTGAAGTAGGAAAGACTTAAGTTGCAGTGCCCCGCTGGTATGTAATTGGCTACTATAGAGGTAACTCAACAGTATCTCCTACTCCAATCAAAATGACAAAAGGGGTCGTTTGCAAATTACGTAACGCTCAGAGGGGAGGCGGGAGGGGGGGGGGGAAGTCACAAATTTGTGAGTCACGTATTTAAAAAAAAAATTTAACTTTTATAATTTTGAAAATACCTTTATTTAATTAATTTTAAAAACATTTGACAAAAGGGGTCGTTTGCAAATTACGTAACGCTCAGAGGGGAGGCGGGAGGGGGGGGGGAAGTCACAAATTTGTGAGTCACGTATTTAAAAAAAAAATTTAACTTTTATAATTTTGAAAATACCTTTATTTAATTAATTTTAAAAACATTAATTTGAGGTCGAAATTGCCTCGGTTATTATAGGTAAAATGAAACTCAGTTTTCTAATAATACTACATCTTAATCCATTATGTGAAAATGTTAAAGAATAAAATAAAATATTAGTTTAGTTACGAAAATTGTATGTATGTTTTGAATTTTTGTAGGTGTGACGTGACTCTGATGGGAGGGGGGTAAAGAATTTTTTACACTTCGTGACAGGGGGGGAGTCTAAAAATTTCATTTTTAGCTTGACGTAATTAGCGAACGACCCTTAAAGTACTTATATGTTGTGATAATCTACTGCCATCATGATTACATGAAGTACTTTTATGCTCGTGATAGTCTGCTGCTACCCTGATAACATAATGTAGACCTACTTACATGCATATGATAATCTACTGCCATCATGATTATACTTACTTGTTCATGATAATCTACAGCCATCATGATTACAAAAAGTAATTACATGTTCATGATAATCTACTGTTATCATGCTTACATAAAGTACCTACATGCTTGTGATGGTTCAATGAACAAAATGACCAGGACTCCAACAAAGATATCACGTGACATCTTAGAAAGAACCACAACTCCTACTTCGGCGTAATGTTTTGGGTTAATTCCAATATTATGTAAAATCGAACAAACATGTTTATATAGAGATGATGAATAGTAAACAAAGATCAGCTGTCACAGATTCTGTCACAGATTCTAACAGCCTGGCTTAAGTTTCAAACCAACTTGACTGTCACATATTGGATCCCGCCCTAACTCAAGGAAGGTGGAATGAAGAAAGGCGGGTGGGGACCAATCAATCTTTGTCACGTAACTACGTCAATGTAATAAAAATAGAAGTGGCATTGTCGTGTAGCACTTGAGTCATGCCAACAAGCTTCAAAAAATCGAGGGATCCCTTCAAGCATTTGGGGGACCCCTTCAAACCATGGAGGGATCCCTTCAAGCATTTGGGGAACCCCTTCGAACCACCGAGGGATCCCTTTAAGCCATTGGGGGAAAACTACAAACCGTTGAAGGGCACCTCGAACCAGGTGAGTACACCTTCGAACCAGACGAGTGCAATTTCGAACCAGACGAGTGCAGCTTCGAACCAGACGAGTACACCTTCATATCATTGGGGGCTGGAGGCACCTTTAAACCTTTGGTGGGTACCTACAAACAATCGGGGGGACACCTACAAACCATCTCTTGATGGCTGTTTTTTTTCTTCAATTTGAGATACCTTGGATTTTTTAGGTACATATAACAGTTACGCGTAATGAATTAATTTCATAATAACAAAATATCGCCGGGGGGGGGGGGGGGGTGGGGGGGGGGAGGGG